TACTAAGTTTCTGAATGGTGGCTGATGCTGCACGGCAGTCGGCAGTGCACGCTGCTCTCGCGCATGCGCACAACTGTACCATATGGGTGTAGAAGTGGAATGCTAGCTATGCATGCTATATTCGCATACCGTCCACGTCATGCAGTGGGGATGGACCTAAGCAATTGCAACATTTACATGCATAATGCCTTGTAGTGTTCAATGATACACAAATAAGGCTAAACATGTAAAGCATACCCATTTTAAAGCAACACAAAGATTCTGTACACATAGTCTAATGGTATTTTTGACAAAATGATTCTTACAAGTACACAATTTAACATAATTTTGATGAGTTTATTTGCAACACAAGAGCCATGATTCATTAAATACAGTACTTGCTTTGAAACAAAATATTTTCTATATCAACACTGCACATAGTAATAATAAATTGTGATATAAACTGTTAATAAAAATGTATCACTGTAAAGAGTGAATGAGAGAGAGAGAGAGAGAGGAGAGTGAGAATCACATAATAGATAATATAAGGATCTGTCTGCTACAAAAATAACGAAACACAGACACTGAACCATACTTCACATACAAATACACAAAGGAAGAGAAACTATAGCAGTTGGAAGAAAAGACACAAAGAATATAGAAGACAGAATAGAGGTGATTGTTAACGGTCTGAGTAAAGATCATAATGCTCTGAAACAGTTGAACTAAAAAAGAAAATGAAGTAGCATACATTCTTGTACCTAGTGTACATGTACTTACACTCTCTTCCCTTTATCTTTTCTCTTTATGTCATATTTGTTCTTTCTACGAAAACTGATTCCTTTTCGTACTGCACTAGGTGAGCCATTTAGCCTTCCTGACTTGTTCTACGAAAAAGAATGAGTCAATAAAACATAAATAAAAAATAATTAATGCAATATTTTAGCATAATTAAACAAAGTAATAATAATACCTTTTTATCATGTGGGTCTCTCTCAGTAAGATGACCAACAGATCCTCACCATTTTGATGGTAATCTTCCATGATGCAGCATAGTCCCAGGAACAGCTAATGATGCTATAAAATAACAGAAAATATCAATACAGTGCATGTACAGTATATGTACTACCATTTACTGAAGGTAGGAATCTATTGGGAAGTCCTCTTCTAAGCATACCTTATAAAGACAGAAAATGTCACATCAATTACATTTATATATATTGACTGCTATTGATAGACATTTTGCATAAATGTATAAATGCCCTCAGAAATGTATGAACCATGCTTTTAAATAAATTGGCCCCAATAAAAATTACACCTTATACACATTGAGTATGTAGAAAGTTTGAGCTGTTTCCGAGAAATAATTTTAAAGTTATGACCACTATAAAAAATAGCCAATTTTTGAAAAATACCCAAGGCTATAGCCCATGGTTTTTTTCCAAAAATTGGCTCCGAAATCACTCCAAATTTTTATTACATTTATAATACATATTGATGCCCTTATGCTATGTAGAAAGTTTGAGCTGTTTCCGACAAGTAATTTTTGAGTTATGACCAATTTTAAAAAATGAGCCAATTTTGAAAAATACCCAAGGCTGTAGCCCATGGTTTTTTCCAAAAAATGGCTCCGAAATCATTCCAAATTTTTATTACCTTTTCTAATACATATTGATGCCCTTATGCTATGTAGAAAGTTTGAGCTGTTTCTGACAAATAATTTTCGAGTTACGAATAGCTAATCAATGCTAGTACAGCATGTACATGTAAATGATCTTTTCCGCAAAATAAAATCAACTGCCACATAGCTATGCAGCATGCTATGTACACATACATGTTTATCCATGAAAATAAATAAACAA